ATTTGAAACTTACATGGGAAACTAAGCACTGGAGGCTTGATATCAAGTTCTGTTGTGCACATTCTTTCTCAAAAATCAACAATGGTATTAATGCTAAATGAATTCCAAAACACGATTTTAACTTGTCTAATTTTTGAAGGGTGTGCTCGAAAGGGAGAAGGATTTGGGAGATGAACAAGCATTGACATGGAAGGGCTAGAAATGGAACAAGAACGACAAGGAAATGCAATTTACTCAACTGGGTACATTGATGATGCAAAGATCAGATTCGATGAAATTTTTAGCAGTTCGGCACTTTTGGGATGTTCTATGAACGTATTAGCTACTTATTCTAACGTCGAACTAGAAGAATCGAAAAGCCCTTAGTTTGGAGAATCTTCAGAAAAAACAAAATTCCTCACAATTTTCATTTTTTATGCAGCAGTCACTGCCCATCTTTGTGACGAAAAAATTCGTAGCCATTTCCAACACTTTTGATGTGTTTCCAAGCAGAGTTTGTTGGGAAAAAAATTGCATATCAACATAAATATTAGATATTAAGTTGGCGGTGGGAGTGCCTCTCGAGAGGAGAAAAAGTAATTTCATCCCCAAAGTTCGAACTTTGAAGCATATATATAGACAACACCACTAGTTTCATCAAATCGTCTTTATTTCACTTTTAACATAAAATAAGGGGGGAAACGCGCGATCGCGCACAAATGATGATTTTATGGTCCATCACAACCTTCATCTGCAATCTCATCCTTGTCCTCGTCCTCATCTTCATCTTCGTTTTGGTCACTGTGATCCATGCACATTATCCTATCGTCGCCCAAGAAAAAGATAGCCGAAAGCATAACAGAGAGCCTTTACAATCCAATCTTCAATAGAATCCGACGCCATCTTGTTCACCATCTTCATCACCAGCATCATCATAAAAATTACCACACTCCTATATAAACAGAGCAATTGTTGAAGTGAAAAAACAGGTTCTACAATCTACAATAAAACATGCTGAATTTCCATGTCTGTAGCATATGAACTAATAGGTAAAAATAAAAGTTATTTCAAGAACAAGAATACTGTCATTAGGAGTCCAACGGCCAATATTATTTCAGCAACTTGACAACAGATGAATATTATCAAAAACCAGCTATCAACATCCCAAGACAAATACGATTTTTAGTCTCCATCATGTATAGTTATTCTATATAGAAGAAATTGAAATGAAATTTTCTGCTTAATAGCTTATGCATTCCCTTGAAGTTCTTAAGTTATGAATTAGTATAAAAAAGTATTGAAGTATGGCACTTGATACCAGCTCTTTGTCAAAAGAAATGCAAAGCTAAACATTTCTGAAAAGGACACAAAAATAGTCTTCCTTGTCTCAAGAGTCAAAGCTATGACACTGATTTATCCAATATTAAGGGAAAATAACAGCTCGGGTGAGTATGTCCTCCAACTTCAATTTGTAACACTTGGGTTTCCTCACCCTTTTACTTTTGTAGCAAATGCGGTCCCAATGGCTGGTTTCCATCCATTGGAGAGTTAAAATGTCAATTTCTTTTTTTTTTAAATGTTAAAAAAAAAAATGAAAGAATGATTACCCCAACTTGTTGGAACAAATGAAACAACATATTATTTACGTGATTAACTTAACATCAACTTTTTTCATTTGATATCAAGCTTTTAATCAGTTGCTAGGATGCACCAACACCCTCTCGGCACCGAAGAGACCAACACATCTCCAAACCATATCCCAATTATTTTTCGATTTTGTACAGTTGGACGCGTCACCAACGCATTGTCGATACGTCGGGAAATACATTGTGTTGGACATTGATAAGTTGTCAACATGTGTCAAAAACACCAGTGACACGTCCAAATAAATTTTTGGTGTGTACAATTCGACATGTTGCCACTTTGCTGACATATTGGGGGACACTACCAACACGTCACGATGCATTGTTGACCGAAACTAACAAAAATAAATCTACTTTACAATATAAAAAAATAAAAATAAAATAAAATATTTTTATTTTATTTTGATTTGCATGCCAAGGACATGTCTTGTTGGTACTTTTTAGAAAAAAATGTGTGTCGACGTGTCTGTGCTTCTTAGGTCAGTTAGATCTGTCTAAACACAATTTAGACATGCAGCCTCAACAAAAGCGAAATAAGAGCAACTGACTAATTAAATTGATCGGCAAGTAAAGTGCACAATTCACCTAATTCATCATCTCATCAGCTCGGATAGATAGTAGAATAGAATCGTTGGTACAGTTAGGAAATGTGGCGTTAAAGTCGATAAAACGTAATTTCTTGTTATGAAGTGTTGTAGTGAGTAAGCTTTTAAAACCAAAGATAAATACCAGATGAGAGGCATCGCCATTTGGATGAGGTACCAGATAATTAAACCAAACAAGCCAATGATAATCCACCTCAAGATTACACTACCACCATTATTTCCATTTCTATCATGCCCCGCTGTAACCTACACACGTTGAAAAGTTAGCAAAAGTAAATTATCATCATATTTGAAAGATAAGGCAGATGTGCAAATTGCAAACGAGCAAAAACTTCAGTTCATGCTTGTAAACTGCAACATCTATGGCCCTGACTTGTATCAAAAGTTTTCAAAGAACGATACACGAGAGAAATTTATCAATATATGACTTAGATATCTCTAAACGGTAACAAACGTGAGAAAAACTACATTGAAACTGTAAACTGATCAATCCATCTGACAAACATCAAAGGTCATTAATGCTTAAAAAATTCCCATTCAGCTAATATATTTGCACCATCATATGAATAATTTAGTCAGTTAATTTGAACTACTATGAGCACATTTCTGACCTAAAAGAATGAACCATTCAACTATAACAGCAATTGAAAAACCTAACTATGTATCATTACTAACCAGCGGCCAGTTCAGTATGGCTCTAGCAAAATATTCAATTTCATTTTCTTAACTAAGAACCAGACAGTTCAATCTGGTTCTCGCAAATTATTTTTAAACCAGAACCCAGACCAGTCTTTTAATTTTTATTTGTTCAATTCTGATTGGTTTCTGTATTGAACCAGCCCAAAACTAATCACGATGCGGAACCCCAATAATAAAGAAGAAAATCAAGACCTCCTCATCTGTTTCTCTCCATCTCCAACCATTTTTTTTCCTCCATTCCAAATTTTCGTTTTCTCTACTGCTTGTTTTCAATCAGGTACAATTTATTGATCTCAACTCAGATTTATCAACTGGCGTATGTTACCCTGGTTTTCTTTTCCTTTTCCGAATAAAATAGATTTTCCGTTTTGCGTCTAAGGGACAACTTGCAGAATTTCCATTTTGCGTTTCTGCATGTGTGCATGTAGGAGCCTGAGAAGTGAGAACAACTTAGTCCCAGAAAATATCCTATATCTAGAAGATGCACTACAATGGGAGAACGACTTCAGACGTCAATTATTAGTCCTTTATCCTTCAATTTGATCTTGCTCTACTAATAAAATTATTCTTTTTTCGATCAATATAGGACATATAAGCTGACATTTTTTTCTGATTGTTGAGTCTGTGGACGTGTATTGAAGACCTGCATACTATAAATTTATATGAATAATCATGCAAGGGCTGTTTCGTAAAAATGATGTGCTTTGCAAGATTGAAGGATCGAATTTATGGGGAGGTAAATATTATATGCTTGATAAAATTGTTCTATGAGATCTTAAGAGTAAGAACTTGTCGGATGATTTGAGGAAGAGCATCAAGGTACATATTTCTTGAATATAGGAGATATTCAAGATTGTAAAAATTATTTAAGTACTAAGCTTACAAGTTAGCCCCTGTTTGAACTACATTCTCATTCTTCTACTCATTTTCAACCACTCATTCTTCAACAAAATCTGCATATGGATTCTATTGTTTTAGAAAAAGCCAACAATAGGGTGCCTAGAAAAGTTTAAACGATGGGTGCTATAGAGAATGAATTTCTTTTTGAAATATTAATATTACTAAAGATATGTATGATGGACTAGTCATGAGAATGAGATGTGGTAGAAGTTACAAAGTTATCACTATAAGCCTTCACAAAGGTTGTGCTTTAAGTCTTTATCTTTTTGCTCAAGTCATGGATGAGTTTACAAGACATATCAAATGTGAAGTTTCTTCCTATAAATTATTCTCTTAAAAAAATCATTCTAGTTTATGAAACTAGAAGGGATTTCGATATTAAGTTAGAACTTTAGGGAAATAGTTTATAATGTAAAAGTCTTAGGTTAAGTAAAACAAAAAAACGGAGCACCTGCAATGTCATTTAAGTAAAAGTTTGATTGTTTTTTACATTTATGTTCAGTAATTGTCAAGGAATGAGAGACTGAAGATTATGCAAGCATATTAAAGCAGGTTTGAATGAAATGATAAATTAGTGAATTAATTTTGTATGATAAGAAGATATCTATAAGGTTAAAATGTCAGTTCCATGAAATAATAATTACTCTGACTATGGTACTGAGTGTTTAGCTATTAAAGACAAAATGTCCACAAGATGAAGTAGCGTACATGAAGATGGTTAAGATGCATTTGAGCAGGGGGACTAGAATAGATAAGATGAGACATGGGAATATTCAATAAAATGTGAAGAAGGTACAAGTCGAAGGAAGGGAGACTTAGGCGATTTTAAAGGAGTAAGAAACAAAATGTGATATTGTTGTCTATTGTCGAGGCCGAATATTGTGCACTTCATCATGCCACTACCAAACTTATACGGCTGAAAATTCTCCCTGGTAAGCTTATGTTTGGTCCAAAGAAACCCACGGTGCTTTTGTATGACAACACAACAAATATTGAGAAAGCAAATAATCCAGTACAACATGATTAAACCAAACGTGATGAGCTTGACACGGGCTACATCAAAGATAACCTCGACTCTGAAAATATAGAGGTTCCGCAAGTTAAAAGTGTGGATCAACTAGCTAATATAATGACTCGTGTTGTTGCTATTAGATCGTTCTTTACATGACTATCTAAGTTGGGCATATGAGATATCTATGCACCAACTTGAGAGGGCGAGTTACAGTGTATTCCTTATTTAAATAGGGGTTAAATATGTTTTTTATCTTGTATAAATATACTTGAAGTCTAACAAAATAATTCATTCCGCCTATTATTAGTTCTCAATTAGATTAATAAAAATATCTCTAACTTAAAGCAATGCTCTCGTCTAAATAGAAAATATAGAAAAATATCCTAAGAAA